GTGTTTCATGGCACTTAATTGTGGTCTGCTTCATGAAAGATGTAGTATGTTTTTATAAACTTATGATGTGGTGAGGTTCTGGTCTCCTTTCTAAGGTTTGTGCTTTAAATTATGTCGTGTGGTTTCTTGTGTTTGTGGTGCCTCCATTCCCTCATTTTAAGCACAAGCCACGCTAGTCTCCCTCCTCCTCCCCCAATTTTTCATAATACCAAGCGTGCCCCTACACCCACTTCTCCTTCATTAATTTTGTCAACCATTTAAATTAAAAAGTCATCCAAACGAAATGTTTCCATTGAATGAAACAAATATTAGCATTATGCTAACAAAAAAATATAATAGCATTTTAGTCTCAATCAATTATGCACACAATGCGCAAATTATAAACACGTAATTATGCACATATATAACGTGGAAATGCCCATGTAATCCCTCTACTTGTAAAAATGTGGAACAAAGGTAAACACAAATCCGTTAGATCATCATCTCAGGATCTAATCTAATGTAAAAAAAAAAAAAATGTTTATTCCACTGGTATCAAATTGAATCGATCCTATAAACTCAAAACTCGCGAGAGAAGGAAGGAGCGACAGTGACTTCCAACAAACAAACGAAACTCTTTTTTTATATGGTAGCCATTAATTAATACTGAAAGAAGGAATCTCTCAACTGATATTTTGTTTTGCAATAGTACGTACTGTTCCTTCCTACCACGAACCGTATCTACCAATTTAATTGGTTCAATCCACTTGTACGTACTTTCAAGTTTCAACATCGTATATCAACTGCACTTCCTTTCGTTTTATGTTTTCTCATTATACAAGAAACAAAAGAGAAACAATACACATGGAATTGACTCTGTTTTCCGCTGTTGGGTCTAATAAGAGAGAAGAGTAGGAGGTCGAGATTCGTCCATGTAGGAAAGCTAGGCTGGAATAATGATAATGGGTCTGGTTTGGAGATTGAATTCCTGAACCTAAAGCAGGAAACGTAACTGAAGTATAAGCCACGTCTTCCCTCGCACTGGGGAGAAGATGGAGCTGACCTGACAGGAAAGAAAAAGAAGGCACTGAGACGAGAAGCCTTTTAAGTTTTAATCATGTGAGGGGACAAGTAAGAGTAGCTCTCTGCGAGGGGGAAAAAAGCTGCGCTATCATGTTCTACTCGGGCGAGAGCAAGCTGATAGGTCACTGGTTGCAACTGAAAACTCAACAGTCACCAACTTATCCACAACCATATGTGTATAATATTCAATGATAATTTCTTATCTAGCTGCTTCTTTTCCTACAATTTGCTACGATGGTAGAGATAAAAGGGTAGGCGTCGGCACAAACGGTTATCGTTCTCATCTTGACAATTAGATTCACATGTTTGTGTTATATATCCAACAACAAAAATCGATGGACCAAGCTATATATATATATATATATTATTGGAGGATGTCACCTGCTCCTGATAATGTTTGTGGTTGGGATGCTTTGAATTTGTTATCTAGTGCTATGATGCATTATGTAACACGAGTGTCTCCTTGTGTATGGGCTCTGCACATTTGTTTTTAAGCCTTGATTTAGCCTATTCTGTTTGGAGTTGTAAAAAATGTGGAACCTTAATGAGTCCGGTTGGGTTGGGTTCACTAAAAAATCCAATTGAACCCTGTGGGTGCATCCTCCAAAAAGTCTCGATAAAATGCTTACTCAATTTTGGAAGAGAAAATCCAATCCAACCCAGCGGGTAGCGCCGTGGGTGCATGGGTACCCATGGTTTACAAACATAATTGCGAATAACTCTCAGAGCAAGCACATCTTCATATTATCAAAAAAAAAAATCATAACTATATTTCTATGCAGGCAAATAAAATTAATAATTATTCGTATATTTAGAATGCTATAAAGACTAATAATATGGATAAATTGTTCATATTATCAGGAGGGTTATGTACTAAACAATGTCATTTTCCATTCCAATAGCAGGTCGGATGGATAGCGGGTTGGGTTTTGACTAAACCCGAATCCAACCCACCAATTCCAAAAGCGAATTTTACCAGCACCACTCATCAACATGAATTTTATCCGCTTTGACCGAATTGTGTACCCGCAAGTACGTGTTCAATTGTCATCCCTACCTACCTACCTCTCAATGCAACTAGCATGCATTAAGTTAATGAAACACGAAATTTCAGTATATCATATATTCTATTAGCAACCTGAACTAAACCCTATCTTCCTGCCCCTGATCATCTCCCATCCTTTCCTACTTTCTCTGCTTCAGCAAACCAACCTCAGCTTTATTTCTTTCTTTGGAGCAGTATCTACCAGAGACTACTGCCGAATCTCAGAGAGCCCAATTGGTCACTCTCCCAGCCTCCCACATGTCTTACTCTTACCCTTACGTACAGCAAATGTGCACACTATACTATTCATTCTCTGGCTGGGGGAGGTTTGCTTGGTACTTGGTAGGATATTTTCACTTTGCCTGAACAAAGAGGGAAGCGTACGTTGTAAAAAACCAATAATGATAATAATAATTATTTTTTATTATTATTATTATTATTATTATTATTATTATTATTATTATTATTATTATTATATGAAATGGCGACCGAACCATAATATTGAAAAAGTAGTTGGATGAAGATTGATGAGGGAGATGCTTTATTTTCTTCTTCCTTTTCGTTGACCGTTCCTCTTAAGTTATCAACTGGCTGGGGGAAGGATTGGGGCGAGGTGGGTTGTTCTTGTTCAACTCCATCTCCAATAGTGGATACCAACCAAACATCTCCATCTCACTCAGCTTTAGTCTGTCACTCTGAGTTCGTAGTTCGGCGTGATAGAGAATTCTTTGAATTTTTGTGACAATATGTATTAAACTTATCGCCCCTAATTCACTCATTCTTGGATTTGCGGAGCTAAGAATATATGATTACCCATGTTGTGGCTTCAACAAATGCTTTCCGATTTCATCTCAACAACATCAATACAATTTAACCAACAATTTGGATTGGTGGGGCAGACATATAATGTTAACTCAGCTTATATAGACTTGAAAAATGCGCAAATTATTATATTTGGTAGCGCCACGCGTATCAATGAAATATACTTTTACAATTGCAGGACTTCCGTTACCTCAGCTTACGATTCGGTGGAACACTGCCGCCGATGATGACGTCCTGAGTTATAAATGATATATCCTAGTTATAACTCCCTGAAATTAAGGTCACGAAAGAAGGAATCATGTGCCAAAATTTAGTGATTCAATGTCTTTGGAGGCTTAAAAGTCTGAAAGTGCTGACTCATGCAATGATGCATATAAGTGACTTCCATCCAATCTTAATCTAATTGATTAGCATTTAGTCCTTGAGTAGAATGTGGGCACCCAAAAATGAAACACCCTGAAGAAAGCGTTAGTTAATCATATTTTAAATGCATTTTGCAAACTCGGATTTCCTTAATCGGTAGGTTGCTAATGCTGTGTACCTAGAGTTTGTCTTTAATTAATCTAAATTTTCAGAAAAGTCGACCTTTTTAGCAAAGGAATGAATGATGCTACACCACAATTTAGTCCTTACTTATCTAATCTTCACGCCGCCGGCCGCACTAACTTCCTTTTCAGATTCTTAACCATAAAAACGGTCACATCACTAACCCAATTAAGAACTGGTTGTTCTTTTTTTTTTTTTTCCTTCTTCTTTTGATTGACTTGTTTTCTTAAACTTTTTATTTATTTATTAGTTGGTACCTATCTCCTTCCAAGGACTTGGATCATGCGCAAGCATTTGACGCATGATTATTAAATCATATGAGATGACTTACAATCAATCAAATAGATGGATTTTCAACACTCATCTCTATCTCTTGAACAAAAATGCATCATTGTCGTCTATTCATATCGTCACCATCGCTCTGATTTTCACCTCCATCAACACCATCTTCGCTCATGTTTCTCTATGGCTGTGGATAGGGATGTACATGGATCGGGTGGTTGGTGTTTAGGGGCAAAGCTACACATAAGCTCGAGGGGCCTCGGCCCGCCGAGAATTTTAGAAGTTATCTATGAACGATATTGGTATTTATAAATTTTGTAATGGGTTGTATAAAAAGGTTTAGTGTGCAAAATGAAACACGAAAGAAAGATAGTCTAGCTGTGGGAACTAGTGTTTACTCTGACCAGGTCAAGGTTTCCGAGACCTATTGGGCACATATTTACTTTTGTGTTTTAATCTCTCGATAATTGCTCATTAAGTTTTCATCTTACGATTTCTCAATTCTGTAATTTCAATATGGCTTCTTTAACTCTTTTATTTTCAAAATTAAGTTTCCTATGGCTTAAAATTGATATTATGGTACAATTAAAAAATTTAGTTTCTTTTTTGCTTGGTTTTATTTTCTCTTCATAGTAACAAAATAAAACCCCCTTTGGAACGTCATATTATGTCTTCGTTCCTGATTCAGATGAAAATGCATTTACCACACTTTCAATTGCTACCGGTAAATCAATACTAGTTTTGGAAGCATATAAACTAATGGATTCATAAACAAAATTTATGGATACGACATATTCACTTTTGTGAGTTTGTCTGCACAAAATAAGTTGTAGTATAGATCTGTAACTCTAAAATCATCTAAATATGTTGTAATATAGAAAATATTTTTTTCTTAATTATTATTGCCTCTTCGAAGCAGTAGAACAAACGAACTCCGCCCCCCCCCCCCCCCCCCCCCCCCCCCGCCCCACCCCCCCCCCCCCCAACGCCGAATTCTGGCTCCGCCCCTGTTCGGGTTTAGCCATTTTAATCACCCGACCCATACACTACGATTTTGAAAACATTAAACTCAAACCTACCCAAAAAAAATTTAAATCCTACGGTTTGTTTATAATTGGGTTGGATCAGGCTGGCGATATTTTTAAGTAAAAACTCAACCCAACACAAAATATGTAATTATTCTATGCCATAAAAATATTTCTATAACTAATTAAAATTTCGAATGAATAAACCGAGATGAAAGGTATCAAAATTCACATTATTCTTTACCTTGTCATCTCTTGGAAACGTAGGCTAGATTATGTCATGTGAAGTGAACAACATATTGCATTGTTGAAGAGTATTCTGTTAGTCATACCCGTTTATTTTATGTCAATTACGAGAGCATCAGTGTATACAAGTATTAAAGACACTACATTTATAAGCAGAATCAAACCAATAGCTACAAAAATAATTCTTCATAGATCAGTTACAAATTTCAAGCAACTTTAAGCAATGTCGGGATCCTGAGGGAGTTCAATTCCTTGCTCAACAGCTTCAATGTACTGTTCCCACCACTTCTTTGCCTCCACTTTGTTATCCAACATCGTGTAGATAATTGCCTGCACAGATCGATACGTGTCGGCAGCAAACCGGTCATCTCGACCGATCAGCCCAAAAACGGTTTAAGGTTTTTCAGTTAATTCTTACAAACCTTGTATAGAGGGAACCGACCATCTGATGGCAAACGTTGATGTTCGTTCAAAGAGTTGCATTCCAAGGCTTCCTTATACTTTCCCTACATTAACACATCATGAGACTACTACAGTCAAAACATGGTTCTAGTAGTAAGGCACAGAGTTCATATGTTGTTTCAATTTTTACAGCCAAGTATTCTGGAGACTGCCCTGAATAATGTATATGCACCAAAATCTGCAGTCATAAAGAAAGGAATTGATCTTTCAATATCCAGATGCATTGATGAAAGAAGTAGTTCCCAGTCACCTGACATATGAGAATCTCAACCAAAACCATCCCAACGTTGTAGGCAGGCTCATTATCCTTCCTGTTCTTATACAGGTAAACTGCATCTCGCAGGAATTTGACGGCAGCTTCAGATTGACCATGTGCCATCAACTTCACCGCATGCATCTGCAAAATCCTCAAAGAGGAGCAACACAGTCATTTGTTACTAACAGACAAACGATTAATTCATGGTCTTATTAGTTGCTTAACTAAACATTCATCATAATTGGTAGTTCCTATACTATGATATAGTTCAGTCATCAACTCTTCTGGTGGGAGATTGAAACCATTTAGAAAAGCACTCTATACACACGTCTTCTCGCGCTTTTCTGATCGATATCTTATAATAATGCACTCAAGAAAACAATTTTCTAGATATACCTTACACAATAACATGCAATGGACACAGATAACATCTTGAATTCGTAATTGAGTTGCTATAATAAGGATGGTTAATTGGTTACCTTAATGGGGATAACTTCAGCCGTGGAAGGACTATAGGGCAACTCAAACTCCACCTGAAATGGCTCAACTTTGCTGGAAGCCATCAGCTTAGGCACATCCAACAAAGACCTCAGAGCTGTCCTCCCTCCCAGTGAGTATCCTGCCCCTCCTACCGGCGAAGATTGTGGAGCCTTTTGGTACAGTTCCCTCGGCCCAGCCATCGCTACCCGATCCCTCCTCATCAAGCTTACGCCGATGATGCCAACACCAAGAGCACAAGCCAAAACGAATGATCTAACAACCTCCAGTTTCCCCTCATTCCCATCTCTGCATTTGCTCTGTTTTTTCTCATCTCTCCACGGCATTGACCACTTCCCTTTGGCGCATACAATTACACGAGCTCTTAACCCAAATCGGCATCGGTGCTTACGAGCCCTGGAAAATGACCGAAATGAGGCATGATCGTGGCCAAGGCGGAAGTGAAGCTTATGGTTGTTGTTTGGGATTGCGGCTCTAGTAAGCTTAGCCGCGGGCGGCAGAGGTATGTTGCTGCTAAGCCCAAGCTGCATTGTACCCTCCATGGGGAATAGCCAAAGAGGTAAATCCGAATAGGAGGTTTTGGGTGTCCACTAAAAAACCCCCAAGTGATAAGAGCAGGATCGTTGTTTTGGAGGGCCATTGACGGATCAATTGAGTTGGAATCTACTTGCCTTCCAAGTTGTCCAAGGTATCTCGTTTGCTTTTTCTATTCCCCTGGAACTTAACCAGTAAGCTGATACTTTGACAAAACCCACTGAAAATCTTGAGCCTTTCTCCATCCCAACACGATTGGGATCAGAAACCCTATAGAATCTTACCTAACGCAAAGCTTCATCTCACAATTCCTTTAGTGTAAGCTACACGATAATATGTCGGACAGGCAATCAGTTTCACTAAAATATACCAGTCCCATCCCCAAGGGAACTAACCTGTGACAATAACCATTTTCTGAACAATGACGAATTTCTCCGGCTTCTCCCTGATCCACATTGACCTGAACCCGGCGCTGGAATACTTGATCAAGAATTTCTCCGTCAAGAATGGAGCAATAGCAGCCGCTGCGGGGAGCCCTCTGCTCATCGCCGGCACCATCTGCATAGCCTGGGCCTACGGCCACCGTGCGTGGCGAATGAGAAAAGAACCTCCGGCGGTTGCGGCGCCCGTCTTCACGCGGTCAATCTCCCTGGGTGCTTTACACGGCGGCAGAGTCGCGCTAGAGAGGCTGCTTGATTACCACACCATCCGGGCCGATGCCGCCGCTCTTGAAGCTGCCGAAGATGAGTTGAGGGCCCAAATCGTTGAGCCCAAGCCCCATTTCAAGAAGCTCCAGGTTAGTGACTAGTTTAGTTTGCCATGACGGATGACCGGTCTTTTCGGTTCGATTTGATTTCGTTCTAATTATGTTTTAAACGAGACTATTTGAGTGTTTGATTAAACAGAGCGCAGTTGCGAAATTTGAGATGAGTGGTAAGGAAGCGGTGGCGATTGCGATCCTAGAGAAGGAGCTGGAAAGAGCCAAGTTTTATAGACGGTCGCACGAGCTTTATGAAATCGAGATGTTGCTCGTTGAACTGTACATCTACAAGGTATCTCCTTTAATTCTAAATTTCTTTTTACTTTGATCCTCTGTTTCATAATTCTCGAGTGAAAATGGACCTGTCAGCCTAAGAACTTACTGCCAATTTTTTCGATTGATGCAATTATAGGGAGATCTCAAGAAAGCTTTAGCTTGCGATTGCTTAACCCACACGGAAATTTCTGATGCTCGACGCCCGCTTTACAAGGTACGTGTTTGGTGCATTCTGCTAAAATGTGCTTATTTGTAAGAGCATCCAAATTGGTATTGCAATTTCAATGGTAAGATGACATGACATGGGTGTAGAGGTGGCAATTAGCATCCAAATCCATGAATCCAATCCAATCCATTCACCAAATTATCCACTTAAGCCAATCCATTTAAATCCAATCCATTTGATCCAAATCCAATTGGATTGGTGGATTTATGTAGGGGTGTTCAAATGGTTACCATGGTTATAACCAAACCAAATAAGGTTAAATTCCATTAACCATGGAATACAATATCATAACCAAACCGTCCAAACTAATACAACAACCAAATTAACCAAACTAAAGTTTAATCGGTTTGGTTAATTGGTTAACCAGATTAACCAATATAAAATCACATTATCATTGATGATGAAAATTTTTCGGTTAATGCAACATTCGCAATTTATATAATGAATAAAATATAACAATCGACACGTAGTTATAGTTGACCCTTAACAAAAATACATGCAACTAAGACAATTATCTTACGATTAGTACAGAAGTATTCACCTAACAAAAATTTATGACAATGGTATGGTTAATGAATTGTTGTGTTTGTATAAATTGACTTAGTCTTTTAGCAATTATCATAGGCTGGAAATGACCTTCTTTTCAAGTTTTCATCCATCATAATGTATGAAATCCATATGTTGTGGTCTACACTTTATGTATACAAATATATAATATATGAGCAATATTGAGCTTTATATTTTATATGAGTCTAAAAGGGATGAACGTTAACTCTTGAGTCGTTATGCAAAGTATTAAGTATGTGTATATAATATATGCTAGATATATGACTAATTAATTAACTGGTTAATTTGGTTTGACTAGTTAGGAGTGTCTGAAACCAAACCAAACCACCTAAACCAAACAAGCTAAAAACTTTAACCGAACCAAACCAATTATTCAAATTAACCAAACCAAATTATCAAAATAGTACTGGTTAAAACGGTTACCACGGTAACCAAACCGTTTGAACACCCCTAGATTTATGGATCAATCCATGGATCCGAATGACAAATTACGATTTGGTACCTATATTTTTTATATTTTACATTTTGGTACCTAAAATTTATATTTGTATGCGAAAAATATCATTGGAAAATTACATTTTGGTACCTAAAATTTTTCATTACGACATTTTAGTACCTAAACTTTTCAAAATTTACATTTTGGTCCAAGCCTTGAATGTCATTTGGATTCATGGATCAATCCACCAATCTATTCACTCCAATCCATGAATCCACCAAACCATTGGATCCAATCCATTTGATCCTTGAATCCACCAATTCAATCCACGAATCCGATCCAATTGCCACCTCTACATGGGTGTTTGCAATTGCAAAACCAATTGCATTGATGTGGTTACCAATTGTATATTTGCAAGCTTACAACAAATGCAATTGCATATGCAAGTAAAAAAGGCCTTAAAATGGAGATATTTTTTATTTTATATTATTTTCTTTTCTCTTTTACTTTATTTTTTATAATTTAATCATAATATTTAATTATGTATGCAATTACAAGTTAATTGCATTGACGTAGGTGAATGAAAGTGATTTGAAATAGATTAAAAAAATTAGCAATAAAAAACATAAATACAATTACTTTTGCAATTGCATTGGTGTGGGAACCTATATATCATGTGACAATACCGTCCATCTCGACCTGTCCATTTCCTTGTGAACCACGTTAAACCTTGTCTAGTTGTCATAAAAGGTTTTGAGCATTTTGGTTAATTAGTTGCTCTATCTTTCCCTACAGGCGGTCATTTATATCATGTTGGGAAACAACGTGGAAGCCCGGCGGTTGTGGGAAGAATTTAGGAGCATTCGGTCGGAATTTGAGTTCCCGCCGGGGAACGAGGACGAAGTCCGGCTGGTGAATGAAGTGATCGAAGATTTCAGCCAGTTTGAGAAAGTGGTGAAGTTGGTCCAGAAGGACATCCAGGCGGCACAAGCACGAAGATCCTAGGAGATCGAACGATCCAGCTGGGTGTATGTATATATATGCTTTGATGTATGATGCACTATTGTATCTATCCCTAGTTCTTCTTTTCTTTATCAGTGTGGCGTTCTATATATGTACCTATTGTCTAGTCTACCCTTTGATCATGTCTATCAAATACTTAACTGGCGTTCTATATATGTAACTTTTTTTTAATCCATGCAAAGAAATTAACATGAATTAAAAAAAATAATACTGGCGGTTTTGGTGATAAAAGTGAAAATATCGGTGTTTTTTTAAACAAAATATTATCATATTGATTTATAGAAAGATCAGAGATTACACCTTGTACCGTATTCAGGACACAAAAATCAAAGATACGACACGAGGTCGGAGGCAAAGAAAGGGCTTTCCGAGCCATAAGGTGGGTCACCTTATTGCAAATTCGACCTACAAATCGCACATGAAAACTACTATGAAGAGCCAACATATGGAGAATTTCCTTAATAATAACCCCAACACGACTATCCCGTGCATCTTTGGCATTAATTTTGTCAATGAGCACCTTAACATCACCTTCAAATTGAACCTGAGCAAGTCCAAAGTCCGGACACCACTAATAACTTTCATGGAGGACAATTGTCTCAACCATAAGGGTCATCCATATTCACGAAAAACAACCATATTCCTATGCATAACCTTGTGGTGAGTGTACGTGGGCACCGGGTCGTGCCGCCCACGGGTTAGCACGGCACGACACGAGCACGGACACGAAATAAATGGGCCAGCCCAGCACGAGCACGAATAATTTATGGGCCGTGCTGGGCCTTAACTTCATGGGCACGGGCACGACACGATATATAAGTGGGTCGTGTCAGGCTTTATATTTTTGAGACTTTATTGAGTATAAAACGGACATGGCACGAAAATAATATTTATTTGATAGAAAATAAATATAAAAAGAATTATAGGTTCAAATATTACAAAACACAAGTAGAAAAATAATTATTTGTTGTTGTTAGAAGTGTCATAAAGATATAAACGTAATTACAAACATAAGTAAAAATGGACAAAGAATTAAACAAAGCTATTATCGGTTAATACTATCTTTCTCCGTCCAATTTTTACCCTATTTTTTCATTCTCTCTTTTGTTTTCGTCATTCTCATTAAACACGAATACGAGCATGGCACGAGCATGAATAGGCACGACACGATTCGAACCGTGCCTGGGCCTGAGCCGGGCCTAGCAAAATTAACAAATGGGCTTGCATGGCACGACACGAAAACTGACGGGCCGTGCCAAGCACGACACAAAATAAATGGGCCCGAACGTGCCCGTGATGTCCCCGCCCAAGCACAGCCCAACGCCCATGTACAGTGGTGAGAAAACTTTTAATTTTCTCCCCTTAATCTTTAACAGACGATTTCTCACTCGTAGGAGTATACATTATGGACCACAAGATACCACCATATACGAGTGTAGTATTGGGTGGTATTGTGTGATATTTTTTTATCTTGTATTTTGTTCACCCAGAAATTTATAGATCCAATAGATCATAATGAACTCGTTACTTCTGTGCCAATATTTTCCAAAAACGCCTAAAAAATAAATAAGATACCATATGGTATGCAGTTGGTACGAGAGGCAAGAAATTTTTTTCTCAAAAAATATTGAAAATGGATCTCATTTTGTAGAGCTTAACAAACTCGTTCCATCTGTGAAAAAAAATTGAAATCCGACTTAAAAATATAAGTCAAATAAGAAAATACAAAGAAAATAAAAATATCTTAATTCTCTACTCATAGACCTAAGTTTTTAAGGCCCACTTAAATAATTTGATAGTTGAGATTTTGTGGGTTAATGACACAAATATTGTGTTTTTTTTAATTTACCACCAATATGACGGATTAAAAAGTATTGACAAGTATATTGTGTTTTGGAGAAAAAGTTAGGCGAGAACACCTGAGAATCAGGTGAATAGGTGGGAAGAAAGTCCCAGGTGTTGGCACCTGAGACTGAGGTGGTACCGCGAAGAACAATCCTAATTCTAACCCTAAACCAGCGAATTTCGTATAAGTTATTCACACCACAAATGGCTAATAGGTAAGAGACATATTTATTTTTTTAATTATATTATTCAAATGCTATTATGATTGTGTTTAGTTTAATTAGTGAGTTTTCTGTAGTGATTTTAGAAGATTTGAACTAGTCGTTCAGCGGAAATCGGAGAAAGTAGAGGATAATTTGGGTGTCAAATTCGTTGGTGGTGGTAGTTTTCAGTTGACGGTTTTTCAAATGTAATAGTTGTGGTTTGAAGTAGTAGTTGTTTTTCAAATAGTTGTTATGGTTTAAGAAGGTAGTTGTAGTTGTTGTTTTTCAAATGTAGTAGTTGTTGTTCTTGGCCAAATTATAAAATGTCCGAGTTGTTGTTTGTTATTTGTTGTTTCGAATAGTTATCGCTAATAACATCATACATGAATGTAAAAATAGTTCAAGGAATAGTCCATATAAATAGTCCACATAATAGTCCACATAACACATAAATAGTCCACATACATATCCCAAATAATAATAACATAACAAAAATACAAAACAAAAACTCTAACGATCACCACCACGACGACCACCATGCTGATCCACTAGATGGCCGTCGGTACCACACCTCACTGGCACCCTGATCCGTGTAGGCCTACCATCATCATGCTGGGGCTGATCATCCTCGACACGGATCAACATGGTGGTCATCGTGGTGGTCGTCGTTAGAGTTTTTTTTGTATTTTTGTTATGTTATTATTATTTGGGATATGTATGTGGACTATTTATGTGTTATGTGGACTATTCCTTGAACTATTTTTACATTCATGTATGATGTTATTAGCGATAACTATTCGGAACAACAAATAACAAACAACAACTCGGACATTTTATAATTTGGCCAAGAACAACAACTACTACATTTGAAAAACAACAACTACAACAACCTTCTTAAACCATAACAACTATTTGAAAAACAATTACTACTTCAAACCACAAATATTACATTTGAAAAACCGTCAACTGAAAACTACCACCACCAACGAATTTGACACCCAAATTATCCTCTACTTTCTCCGATTTCCACCGAACGACTAGTTCAAATCTTCTAAAATCACTACAGAAAAACTCACTAATTAAACTAAACACAATCATAATAGCATTTGAATAATATAATTAAAAAAATAAATATGTCTCTTACCTATTAGCCATTTGTGGTGTGAATAACTTATACGAAATTCGCTGGTTTAGGGTTAGAATTAGGATTGTTCTTCGCGGTACCACCTCAGTCTCAGGTGCCAACACCTGGGACTTTCTTCCCACCTATTCACCTGATTCTCAGGTGGTCTCGCCTAAATTTTTCTCCAAAACACAATATACTTGTCAATACTTTTTAATCCGTCATATTGGTGGTAAATTAAAAAAAAACACAATATTTGTGTCATTAACCCACAAAATCTCAACTATCAAATTATTTAAGTGGGCCTTAAAAACTTAGGTCTATGAGTAGAGAATTAAGATATTTTTATTTTCTTTGTATTTTCTTATTTGACTTATATTTTTAAGTCGTATTTCAATTTTTTTTCACAGATGGAACGAGTTTGTTAAGCTCTACAAAATGAGATCCACTTTCAACATTTTTTGAGAAAAAAATTTCTTGCCTCTCGTACCAACTGCACACCATATGGTATCTTATTTATTTTTTAGGCGTTTTTGGAAAATATTGGCACAGAAGTAACGAGTTCATTATGATCTATTGGATCTATAAATTTCTGGGTGAACAAAATACAAGATAAAAAAATATCACACAATACCACCCAATACTACACTCGTATATGGTGGTATCTTGTGGTCCATAATGTGTACTCCTACGAGTGAGAAATCGTCTGTTAAAGATTAAGGGGAGAAAATTAAAAGTTTTCTCACCACTGTACATGGGCGTTGGGCTGTGCTTGGGCGGGGACATCACGGGCACGTTCGGGCCCATTTATTTTGTGTCGTGCTTGGCACGGCCCGTCAGTTTTCGTGTCGTGCCATGCAAGCCCATTTGTTAATTTTGCTAGGCCCGGCTCAGGCCCAGGCATGGTTCGAATCGTGTCGTGCCTATTCATGCTCGTGCCATACTCGTATTCGTGTTTAATGAGAATGACGAAAACAAAAGAGAGAATGAAAAAATAGGGTAAAAATTGGACGGAGAAAGATAGTATTAACCGATAATAGCTTTGTTTAATTCTTTGTCCATTTTTACTTATGTTTGTAATTACGTTTATATCTTTATGACACTTCTAACAACAACAAATAATTATTTTTCTACTTGTGTTTTGTAATATTTGAACCTATAATTCTTTTTTATATTTATATTCTATCAAATAAATATTATTTTCGTGCCATGTCCGTTTTATACTCAATAAAGTCTCAAAAATATTAAGCCTGACACGACTCACTTATATATCGTGTCGTGCCCGTGCTCGTGCCCGTGCCCATGAAGTTAAGGCCCAGCACGACCCATAAATTATTCGTGCTCGTGCTTGGCTGGCCCATTTATTTCGTGCCCGTGCTCGTGTCGTGCCGTGCTAGCCCGTGGGCGGCACGACCCGGTGCCCACGTACACTCACCACAAGGTTATGCATAGGAATATGGTTGTTTTTCGTGAATATGGATGACCCTTATGGTTGAGACAATTGTCCTCCATGAAAGTTATTAGTGGTGTCCGGACTTTGGACTTGCTCAGGTTCAATTTGAAGGTGATGTTAAGGTGCTCATTGACAAAATTAATGCCAAAGATGCACGGGATAGTCGTGTTGGGGTTATTATTAAGGAAATTCTCCATATGTTGGCTCTTCATAGTAGTTTTCATGTGCGATTTGTAGGTCGAATTTGCAATAAGGTGACCCACCTTATGGCTCGGAAAGCCCTTTCTTTGCCTCCGACCTCGTGTCGTATCTTCGATTTTTGTGTCCTGAATACGATACAAGGTGTAATCTCTGATCTTTCTATAAATCAATATGATAATATTTTGTTTAAAAAAACACCGATATTTTCACTTTTATCACCAAAACCGCCAGTATTATTTTTTTTAATTCATGTTAATTTCTTTGCATGGATTAAAAAAAAGTTACATATATAGAACGCCAGTTAAGTATTTGATAGACATGATCAAAGGGTAGACTAGACAATAGGTACATATATAGAACGCCACACTAGACAATAGACATGATCTCAGGTGGTGCCACCTCAGTCTCAGGTGCCAACACCTGGGACTTTCTTCCTGAGTCTCAGGTGGTGACACCTCAGTCTCAGGTGGTCTCGCCTAACTTTTTCTCCAAAACACAATATACTTGTCAATACTTTTTAATCCGCCATATTAGTGGTAAATTTAAAAAAAACACAATATTTGTGTCATTCCACCAGATTTTGTTATTGGCACCGAGCCCCAAAAGCAATATCCGATAGCTTAGTTTGGCCTTGTTGTAGCTATTGCAGAAGCAGCTTCTGGCTGGAACTTTTAGATAAGTACTTTTCAAAAAAAAACCAGTCTAGTGTTTGGCTGTAAAATTATTAGAAGTGATTTTTAATATGAACGGTTGTGTAAAATAACTATAAAGGACTTATAATATAAAATATAAATAAAAATTTTAAACAATAAAAAGTAGTCAAAATGGATATTGTTAGATTTCTTTTATATTAAATTATATGATTTTATAATTTATTTTATTTTTAAAATGATATAAATAAAGGAAAATTATATTTTGTGTAATAAAATGAAGGATAATCTTGTATTTTCAAAACAGTTTTTCGTAGCTTTTATGTTATACAAAAGCGTTTTTCGGCTTTTCAAATACCAAGTTTTTAGAGATGTTTGGCCCTGCTTCAGCTTTTAAAGTCGATAAAAACACTTCTAAAAATCGGGCCAAATCATAGGCATTGGTCTTTAACAAATAACTTTTCCAAGAAAATGGTATTACGAGTGTCTCTATTCCATCTACCGGGCGTGTTGCAGCAGGAAGCAAGCTTTTGTTAACTAACCATCAACGGAAGCTTAAACTCAAATCATCGATCGAAAGGAAGGCATAACCAATCGTCAGCTCGCCACTCACTCACTAGTCACTCCCCTCTTTCTGCTATGGTTCCCGCTCTCAATCTAATCATCCTTCCTTTATGAGTAAAACTCAGAGGAAGAAAGAAGACGAAGAAGAAGAATCCCAAATCATGCCGTCTTCGCCTAAATCTTTCAGCGCCCGTCCGTTCTCCGCTACTCGCAGATCAAATGCCCTCGTTGTCATCGTCTCCCTCTGCATCGGAATCTCCGGGTTCGTTTTCGGCCTCACCGCCCTCTTCGTTTCCCCTTCCGCTCGCCGCTGCGCCGGCAACATCCGCCCGCGATCGGTGAGTGTCGTGTGGGAGACCAATGCCCTGACCAGTGAGCTGAAAGCAGACCGAGGCGGCCTCCTTCTCGATGGCGAGAGGACGAGGCATAAGGTCATGGCCTTTGTAGGGATTCAGACCGGTTTCGGATCTTCGGGTCGGAGGCAATCGCTGAGGAAGACGTGGATGCCGTCGGATCCCCAAGGGCTTCAACGGTATGGTTCAGATTTGCGTTGAAAGTTGAAACTATGTCGAGAGAGAGATTCAATTTGTTTGATTGGGTAGTTGGTTACTTTCTTTTTTCGGTTTGAGCTGTGCAGCTTGGAAGAATCTACTGGTTTAGCATTCAGGTTTGTAATTGGTAGAACCAAGGATAAACGGAAGATGTTAGAGCTTGACAAGGAAGTTGAAGCTTATGATGATTTCTTGCTGATAGATATTGAGGAACAGTACAGTAAGCTTCCTTATAAAACGTTAGTGGTGTGTGTTGCCTCTGTGTGGTTTTGTAGAGTTGAATGGTTATTTTGTGAGTCTAACTGGAAATGTAACTGCAGATTGGCTTTCTTCAAAGCTGCATATGCACTCTTCGATTCCGATTTCTACGTGAAGGCGGACGATGACATTTACTTGAGGCCTGGTAACCATATCGTTGGCAATCTGTTGTCTTTGTTTGATTCTGTGATTCGTATTCAATTGCTGAACTCAGATCTTTGATTTACGTGTTCAGATCGTCTCTCCACGCTCCTAGCTAAGGATCGGCCTCATTCGAGGACATATCTCGGCTGCATGAAGAAGGGACCGGTTTTTAGTGATCCAAAACTCAAATGGTCAGTCTTCTTCCTCATTTTGCTTATCTTTTTTTAGGTATTCTTGTGTGCTTGAGTTCATGTGCTGCAGCCCTGTACAACTTAATTAGTTACTCATTTATTCCACTTGACATTCTTAAGTTGTACTGCTTGATGGCTGCCATCTAAGTGCAATGATTGCTAGGATACTGTGAGCATTTATATATCAGCATGTGGAGGACCATCTAGTGAATTGGAGCATATGAGAAATGATGACCGAATCACAAGTACGAGTTGGCAATAGCTTGACCATAAAGAACAATATTGAACTGAAGATAGATATGGATGACTTGGAATAAAAGAAAAAATCTATTGGAAAGATTGCGTCTTCCCTCGAACTACAAATTGAAGTTGCTCTATCATCAAGTCTCTTTGCCAATAGGATAGTTGTCATATATGGTTGAAACATGGTTGCAGCATTCACACTACAAAATATGTTGCTAGTGGCACTAGGTAATTGCTGGTTTGTATTGATTTAAGAAATAAGAACACGTAACTAATGCCCATTTCCTTGAAATCATTCAACGTTACAAACAATTGAGTTCAGTTGTCTTCTGCTGGATTTGTCAAGGATACAAGAGCTGCTGCTGATATAGTCAGAGGTCAAGAGCCATGGATTTCTTGTAGCTTGCTCCACCAGTTCACTGCCTTGAGGTGCAATAGGGGTTTAGGGGAGACAGAATCTAGAAAACGTCCTCCAACTTATCCCTTAATTATAACTCCTAAACTAGTTGTCCAAATTAGTTGCTTTTGTGGATATGTCGTGAGTTGCGACTTTAACACCAGTTTGAGCATAATTTATAATGGTCCATTTGGCTCGTATACTGCTCTTCACAGTGAAGGCTTCACTTAGACAATGGTGTTGGGTTAAGTTAGAGAACTGTGCATCTCAATGAACTTTTGGTATACTTCAGAGGCAGGGAAAGCAAGGAATACTAGAAAGATCCAAAGAACTATGAGGTTCTAGATGTGTAAGCAAACATACCTGATATTTTCATCATAAACACCAAGAGTTCTGCACGGCACTGATAAACTATCCAATGTAGGCAAATTACAATGCATGCTACAAGTCTTCATCTCTAGATCTTGTATCATAACTCTATTACGCCACACAGCCAAAGCCTTCTCCTTCAGGCAGTTCTGCATAAGTATGCAGTTATAGATAAAAAAAGCACTCGACTTGAAAATTTATAGTAACCTGCTATACAACCATCATTTGCAGGTTGCAGAAAAGTGAAGTTATGATGTTATCCAAAACTCTTGAATTCCGCTTGTCTTGTCATAACATTTCATATGAAAGTACAACTTGGAAATTTCGTGGTATCTCTTGAAAACAAGTTGGGATATCTACATAACGATTAACGATTATGCTGATTGACTGAAATTTTGTTATGTTAACACTGACTTGATCACCGAAGTATCAATGGTGGTTGTGGAAAAGGTAGAAATATATTTCCATTTGTTTTGGTCTGCTTAGGCTACCACTACCATTTCTTTTCTGTGCCAAGAAAATATTTTCCAAACCAATTCATCCTTCTTCATAGGTTTTCTCGAAACTGGCTGCTCTTGAATTGCATAATGGTCAAGTGTACTAATTATGTTTCTGCTGACTGGTACAGGTATGAGCCGCTTCACTATATGCTAGGGAGCGAGTATTTTCTCCATGCTTACGGTCCATTTTATGCTCTTTCAGCGGATGTCGTTGCAAGCTTGGTCGCTCTCAGAAATAACAGGCAAGTTTGCTCCAAATCTTTGTAGCGACCATATCTGTATCTGTCAGTTGGAAAATGAAAATCAATGCCATCTCTTAAACATTTGAGAGTACCTTTTCTTCCTTGACCTCCAAGCTGGTTGCACTTAACATGAATGCTACTTTGGCAATTAATACCCTAGTGGAGCTTTATGATGTCTGGAATGTAACTCTTCTTTGGGGGTGACATCAGTTTTAGGATGTTCAGCAACGAAGATGTTACAATCGGTTCATGGATGCTCGCAATGAATGTTAACCACGAGAATGATCGACATCTTTGTGAAACAGATTGTAGTCCGTCGTCGATTGTCATCTCGGATATTCCCACCTGTTCAGGTTGGTCTTCTGTAAGCAATCCAAACAATATTAAAATTGTGGTTGTTTAGAAGTCTTTTTAGTTGGCCCTTATTTTCTCTGGTAATACACTGCAGGGTTGTGTAATCCAGAGACAAGATTGTTGGAACTGCACAAGAGGAAGAACTGCACGGATACACCAACTGTTGATGATTAGCAATTTTGTTCTCCGTTACCCCGACGAAGTTGGAGACCAGGATTGTTCGCAGGGCAACCATCCTTATTGGTTTCTCCTCTCTTAATATCATGTCTTGTTCTGATTATGAAAAATGGATAACAGAAAGTGGGCAGAGCCAATTTTGTACACCGGCAACATTATTTGTCATTCAAAGTTTTCATTCAATAGTTTCAAATGCTTCGATCTATCGTGTAAGTTTAGACTAGAACGGAACTGACCACTGCTAGCATTACACAATTCCACTTCTGCTTCCTAATGATCTTGCACATCACACTTAAGCTACAGCTCCAAAGCTCATTGTTATCTTTTATAATCGTGCCATAGGTAACAGGAACAGAACCTCCATGCGACAAGGTTACATCATTGGTAGAGTATAAACAGCTTTCTTCTTAGGTCATTTGCCAACAGAACTCCCTCCGGCAAGCAAACAATAAACCGACTATTCCCAAGTTTACTTATTTCAGCTTCCCAAAAGCTTCAATCGTCTTGGTTGCAAGTGTAAGCACATCAACAAATGCAGAGAATGAAGCCCGCAGAAACCTTGCCTCAACTGCCTCAAAGGACCTGCACAACCATCACCAGCTCTGAGTCGTCACATAAAGAAACACATCTTCAACAATACCACCAGACAACTGGATAGTCTAAACTTGGAGAATCTACACATCTAGCAACGATGATAAATGGAAAACGCAGAGCAGAAGTACTCACACAGACAACTTGCCATCACAAACCACCATCTCCCTCTTCACTTTATCCGGCTGCAACTGCAAAACGGGAACAATAAAAGGTGATAAGCACGAACAAGCTTTGATGGCATTAAACAAAATACTTGAAGCCTCGACAAACGATGCTCATATACATGCCAATAGGAGCGGCAGCAGCTTGGTGGCAACGGGCGAACAATACTTTCATGAAACATGTAGGGAAAAACGAACTACTACTCCAGCACTTCTACTTACCTCCTTATCGACAGCCAATGCTGCATATACAATTGATGCATTTTCTTCGGATCCAAAATCTACTTCCAGGTTGCTGCAGAAGAAGATCACATTTGGTGTCAATTCTAAACAGTTGCAAGGAAAACCCAAAATATAGTAAGTTGCATAAACAGAAAGCGCACTGTCTAGATGAGATCACCAACATACGAAAGCTACCATATGTCCAGCCATAACTACACCACCAATTTTGAATTCAATACCACTAATAAACGCAGAAAGAAATGAGACGAATTCGAAGCAAATGCTGTGGAACAAACATTACAAAAGAGTACTTCCCAAATTCTACACATCTTCTATATTAATGATTCACTACAATTCAAATTGAAACAGAAGAGAAAAGAACCCAAGATGCAAGGATTAAACTCACGCTGAGAACTTGCCATCGGTGGCCATCATTTCCATCTCGGTTTTATCCAGCTGCAAAACCGCAAAACGAGGGATAAGAAACCAAGGGTTGTGAAACTGTACCAGGGACTGTCAACCAAGTTTAACGATTTAAGGTATACCATTGAACTAGGATTACAGTAATGCCATATCAACCTGTGAAGAACTAAACATCATATTAAGCCTAACCGGCGATATCATGTCCCTTAATAAAATAGATATTACCAGCAGCACCATACAAAACCAAATAGCTCCAGCCCACATGCATATCAATTTGCATAAAATTCTTCAATCAATCGACTAGCTACAGCCTACACGGATAAATCTCAAATCAACCGAATGGCTACTGTATCTTAAAGCGCCTACAAGCTTAAATTTTTTTACGACATAACTGAAAACTTGAAAGTATGACAATGCGCATTTGGTGATTGGTCTGCCAGCAGGAAATCAAGTGAATCAAACAAAAGACAAAAATGAAAACACCTGGTACCACTTAAACGAAAAATCTACCAGAAAAAGAAATCAGAAAAAATGATTTTTATCTTGGAACGCTGAAAGTCACCGTCTCCGCGACTGAAGTGGCGGCGGCGGAGGGGTTAGAATCTTACAGAGGCAAATGAACCGACGTAGCGTTCGGTGGAGGAACTGGTATCGCTTCTTCAACTAAGGTGTCCGATGGCGAGCGCTCAACGGCGGCCTGCCAGCGTGAGGAGATGCAGAAGCAGCAGCGTCGGTCGAGTAAAGGAAAACTAGGGATTTTTTTTGTCCCTTGGACGGAATTTGGCGCTCACAACTTCAATTTCTTTGTCAAGATCAGCGTTAAGAAACGGTGTAGTTTCTTTTCCAAATTCCGTGCCGAATTACAAACTTGCCACTAAACTTTAAGGGATAAATTGCGAATTTGTCACTAGGTTTACTAAATTGTTTTACATTTGTCATTAAAAATAATTTATTTCATTCGCGGTCACTGATTGTCCAACTCTCCTATGTGATAGTGAACTCTCATGGTTAATCGTTTAATAAGTGACGTGACAATTAAAAAATAATAAAATAATTTAAATTGTCCACCTCATTTCACAATCATAAAAAAAAACTCAAACTCTTGGACTTTCCTTTCTCACGTCAAATCCCCGTTCCATTTTCATTGACAATGACGGAGAGGGAGGCCATTTGTTTTTTTTTTTTTGACAATAACGTTCATCTTTTATTCCACTTCCAACTCGAAAAAAGCGAGAATACACTTTACCAAAGGAAATCCGAAATAAGATCTAGCAAGTGATCGTGCAACCCAATCAGCTCTAACATTGAAAGCACGTGAAACTGCCTTGACCTTCACTTGAGGGTTCACTCTTAAGATTGAGATCATTGATCCAATCCAGGCTGCACCTCGCCAAGGCCAACTTCTTGGATCATCAGAGAGAGCTTTGACAAGTAGCTGGCAGTCTTACTGGACAACACATTATGTGCCATATTCTTGGGCTAATTTAGACCTTCCAATAAAGCTTTTGCTTCGGCTTCGAGAGGGGTGGAACAAATGAGAGTGTTAGCTCGCCCATCACACACTTGTCCATGGTGGTTAGTGACCACAACACCATATGCCGCCGGCTGGGAGTCATTTAAGAATGACCCATCACAGTGAATCACAATATTGTGATTGCTTGGCGGTGGAGAATTGAGTGATTGGGCTCCCCTGAGCTGAGTAGAAGGAGAGTCAGTGGGGGGACTCCTCGGGCAATTTGTCCATTCTATGAACTCCTTGTAAGTACGCAAAATAACGTTTGGATGCCAAGCGATCCAATTCTTGAACACACATTCATTTCTAGCCTTTCAAATATTCCAACAAAGGAACATAACATGAGTCATGGCTGCTGGTTGGATAGAGTCCTTGAGTAGGTACAACCAGTCAAGGAAAGCAGTATACTGAGCTGTCAGAGGGAGGTTTGGGAAGATAACTTCCCATGCTTCCCTCGCGTGGGGACAATATAAGAGGCAGTGGAAGAGGGACTCAATCGGGCATTGGCACACTTGACATGTAGCATTAGGGGAGCATTTCCTATGCAAGAGTCTCTCTTTTGTTGTCAGACCGTTCCTGGCACATCTACAGACAAAGAACTTGAGCTTAGGCGGGATATTCAGACTCCACAACCATTTCCATTTCTCCACATTGTCCATCGTTTGGGGATCCATTACTGACGAGTGAACCGCATGATATGCCATCTTGACAGTAAACTTTCCGTCTTCATTAAATCTCCACGCCAGAAGTCCTTGGCGTCCTCCTCCCCAATCGGAACTCTCAAAATAGCATCCCTTTATGGAGAAGAAACTTGTCCCTGGATCAAATCATCATTCCACTTTCTGCTTTCCGGATCAATACAGGTACTGACTCTTGCGTGGTTCTGTAGACCACTCTGAATGCTCGCCTTATGAAGGAAGGGAATCCAAGGATCTTGATCAATCCATGTATCCTCACCCGATTCAATCACTTTAGCAGCTCCTAGATCAATGACTTTCTTGGACTCCCATAGACTCGCCCAGATCAATGATGGTTTGCTTCCTTTTTTAGCTGAGAGAAAGTTGCCTCTAGGGAAGTAAAGTCCTTTAATGAGACGACTCCAAAGTGAATCAGTGTTGTTCATAAGCCTCCAGGCTTGTTTGGCAAGCAGGGCCGTATTGAAATCTCTAAAGCTTCGAAAACCCAACCCTCCCTCTGATTTTGGGGTACAGAGAACATCCTTCCTACACCAGTGAAGATTGCTTTTTTGCATCGACCCTGACCAGAAAAAATTGAAAAGAAGAGAATCCATTTTCTTCGTCAGGGACACTGGTAGAAGGAAGAGGCACATGATGAAAGAAGGGATAGCCTGAATAACCGACTTGAGGAGGACTGCCTTTCCTCCATGTGAGAGAAGCATGCTCTTCCATGCTTCCCCCATCTTTTCCATCCTTTGGATAAGGGAGTATAATGTTTCCTTCTTTGAATTTCCCTGTTCTGTCGGGGCTCCAAGATATTTTGAATGGAAGTTGGAGGACGCAAATCCAATGTGATTAATGATATCATTCTTCTCTTCAGCTGGAACATTCGCCCTGAAAAAATAGAGGATTTGTGTATGTTGACTTCTTGACCAGTGATTGCCTCATAGTCGTTGATGACCTCCAAAATTCTTTCAGCCTCTTGGATGTTAGCTTTCCCAAATGTGATTGTGTCATCCGCAAAAAGACAGTGAGTGAGAGTAGGGCATCTCGAGTTGAGCTTAATTCCCTTGATCCGTTCTTCTATAACTGCTTTGTCAACCAGGAATCTGAGAGCATTAGACATAAGGATGAAAAGAAAAGGGGATAGAGGGTCTCCTTGTCTAATGCCTCTCGAGGGATAAAAGCTCTCTGAGGCTTCTCCATTGAACAATACTGAGAAACTGACCGTACGGATACAAGCGCTGACCCATTTGCACCATCTCTCATTGAACCCATATTGCCTTAGGAGAGTCTCCAGACACTCTCACTCAACCATGTCATAAGCCTTTTTCATATCTAGCTTCAGCATCATATCCCTTATGTTGCCTAGTTTGTGATTCTTGAAATGGTGTAGAACTTCATGAACGATAATGATATTATCTTGGATGAGGCGACAGCCTGTGAATGTTGTCTGAAGCTCTGAGACCAAATAGGGAGTCCATTTCTTCAGTCGGGTAGCCAAAATCTTTGAGATGATTTTCCTGAAATTGCAGCAACTGATGGGTCGAAATTGGCCTATTGTCTCTGGATGGTCCACCTTTGGTACCATCACAATGTGCGTATCATTCCACCCTCCAGGCATAATAGCTGAATAAAAGAAATCCTTTACTTCTCTACAGAGGGTTTCACCAACAGTATCCCAGTATCTTCTGTAAAATTTACTCGAGAACCCGTCTGGCCCTGGTGCCTTTGTAGCCTTGAAAAGCTCTTTGAAAAACCTTACTGACATACCCTTCAGCCTTGCCTCATCTTCAACCCAATTCCACATATCATCTTTAAGGTGAAGGATTCTGTTTCTATGCTTTCTGTGAATAGTGCTAGAATGGAAGAATGAAGTGTTTTGATCACCTTTTTAAGCCAAATAACTCTAGAGCACTGACTCCAAAAGGCTTCCTCCTCGAGCCAAATTCTGGTCAATTCTGATGTAAGGCCTTTCTCCTCCTCCACATTCTCTAGAATACGTGGAGGTTGATGGAGAATCTCAAGTCTGGACACAATTTCACTCTCCCTAAGAATACTATTCTTATGGAAGTCTTTCGCTCATGCCTTAAGTTCTCTCTCGCATTTGTTTAGCTGATTGCTAGATAGTCCTCCTGGATCCCATTCCCTGCAAACAATCTCATTGCATCCCTCTTTTTCCAGCCATCTTTCATCCACCCTGAATGGTGTTCTTCTTCTTATGTTTCCTTGATAGTGGAAATCAATTCTAATTGGGCAATGGTCAGAAGCCACCATCTTTTCATGGAATACAACCGCTTCTCCAAACATCACTCTCCAAGATGGCGAGCACAACACCCGATCCAATCTAACTCTAACCAAATTTGGACTAGAGCGCTTATTGGACCAAGTGAAAGGGTTGCCTTCGAATCCAAGGCCGATGAGGGCATTGTCAAAAATGAACCTTTTGAAAGGTTCCACATTCTCATACCTAAGAGGGCACCTCCCTTCCTTTTTATATTCATAAATAGCATCATTAAAATCCCCAACTATGACTCAGTTATCATCTGTACTACTCTGGTAAATTGTCAAATTCCATCGTAATATCGATGAGGACTAAAAATGTGAACTCTCGGTTCAAATGGTGTCGAGTTTCGACATAAATCGAGTAAGTTACGGACGTTAGTTGAATTTCGGATTAAACTCACCCGTAATTTATGAAATGGCCAAACACCCCTTGAACGATTAAAACTCAAGCTAACCCTAATCCCCCTCCACTCGGCTGCAACATTGGACTATTTAAAAACCTAATCGTGACAAGCTAATAAAAACTTTCCTCGGAAGCCGAAACCTCAAAGCTGTGCCGCCTCCTCATCCGTTTCACAATCTCGCAGTTGGGGATACATGAGTAGTTGTAGTTGTGGTCCAACAGTTACGGAAGGAGATGCGATTGGGAAGAATGGAGTTGGTGACTAAACTACTTGGGACGGGGAAGGATTATAAAAGGAATTTCCATCGCCAGGTGGAGTTAGGAGTGAGTCAGCAAGGGTTGATAATTGGAGGTGAGAACCGAACTACATGATAAATCTCCACCCATCCACCGTAAAAGCAATGGCTTGGGGGACTAATTAACCCAACCCAACCCCACCCATTATCCATTCTTCCTCTCGGCTCCCATTAGAATTATTAAGCCGTAAGTTTGCAAAATAATCTGGCACTGTTCACTAAGAAAATTTTGGAGGTTACTGTTCACGGAAGCCCTATGATTAACTGTAGGCGAACCTAACTTAAACCCATGGACACCACTTTGGGCAGAGCAAACACAACCGTTGATCAATTAAGTTTCTAAATATTACAAGCAGTTGGATTTTTATCCTCTTAATTCCTTTCCCTCCTCTATCCTTATCTCTCTCTTTTTCATTCTCCGCAAAAACCCTTCTTCTCCCTTTCCGATCTCTCTCGATTCCGCCTCTCCCATATCCCGAACCCACTGAATGGCACCGACGAACGACCTTCTTCTCCCTTTCCCAACTCTCTCGATTCCGCCTCTCTCCCACCTCTCCAACCCACTAAATGGCACCGACGAACGTGGTTTGATTTACCCTCTCTCGGACATCACTGAACCTACTGAACGACACACCGGAGGGTGACGGTGCAACGGCAGAATCTTTGAACCCACTGAACGGACGGCGACAAACGACGCCCGATTTCACCTCTTTCTTACATTATTGAACACGCTGAACGGCGCGCGGGTGAGAGAATGACAACCCCTGATTTCCCCAGGAAATCTCATTTCTTCTTTCCGACAAAATTGTAGCACAGGGTCTATTATGTGTAAATCGAAGGCGTGAGAAGCCCTATTTGAGATTCATTGGTGTTTGATCCATCTCTCAAAGTTTAATTTATGGCCGACGAGCCCACCTCCCGGCATATGGGCGATTAGCCCTTCTTTCCAGCATATTGGGTTGAAACGATGGTGAATAAGCATCAAGGAGGTACTTCCATTGTTAAGTTGCAGAACTAAGCAAGGGCCCTCTTTGCAACCCCCTTCCTCAATAGTTACAGGTCATCGTTCTTATGAACATTGAGATTGTGGTACTTTTATGTTACTCAACAAAGGTGTGTATCTAACTGTTGACTATGTTAGGCATCGCAAGGGGAGTGAATTGGAATTCTTTGGTTGTGGTTGATTCTCAGCTGAGGGGTAATTTTCTAGCTCGGTTGGATGATGATGGCAGTGAAGATAAGCATCTAACAACTCTCTCAGTAGGTAAGTTCACACACAACCCTTAGGACTTGAAGAATCGATAATCAGCAGTAGTTCTAACAGTTGACTGGGTTGGGCATTGCAATGCTCTCGGCTGCGACTAAAGGGAGTGAATTGGCATTCTCTGGTTGTGGCCGATTCTCATTGAAGGGATGATGTGCTAGCTCGGTAGTGACATGATGATGGCAGTGAAGGTAAGCATTCGGCTAGCTCTCTTGGACGTCACTTAACACAGTCCTTAGGAGCTTGAAGAATTTATAACTAACTAACTTCCTAAAGTTGACTAGGTTAGGCATCACAATGCTCTTGGATGAGACTGAGAGGAGAGAATTTGTATTCTCTGGCTGTGGCCGATTCTCAGTAAAGGGTTAATTTGCTAGCTCTCTCCGTAGGTCAGTTCACACAACTCTTAGGAGCTTGAAGAATCTATAATCCACAGTAGGTTGTGTTGGTACTAATGGATATTAGAACACACTAAGCTTTGTATTTTTGGGATAGGAAAGTAGGTACCAACTTATTACTTTAACAGCTGTATAATTTTGAGATTACTTAACTAGGTTTCTCTTTCTTTATATAAATTGTTGTTCTTTGATGGATGATTTTTCTTTTAGATACGAGTTCTGACAATTAGGAGAAGTCTACGAAGCTTATTTAGCTTTATGTTGTTTGGTTTCATTTAGGAGGGATCCCTTTCTATATCAAGCATTTTCTATTTACTATTTCAAAGCTTAGCAGGTGTAAAATCAAAGTATTGTCTATTTACACCTCATATCATGTATGGGTAGTATTGTGGTGCTTGATGTTAGGCTTAGTTAGTTCCTAGATCTCTTGTTTGCCCATGTAGGGTTCAATTACATCGTCTATCGCTGGAATTCCTATTGCTAAATGAAGGCTATTGGGTAAAAAAGTGGAAATTACTAAGTTTTGGTCTTCTTCCTTCGGGGCATCTTAGATGACATTTAATAGAACTGCTGTATTTTTCTATAACTGAAGGGGAAACAAGCTACTCCTACACCAGCTACATAACTTTTATTTAGATGAGTTGTTGTTGTGTTCCGTTATTGTTAAGCTAACTACTGCTTTTATTAGAACTTTACGATGTTATTTCTTAAACTTAGATGGATGGTTAGGTTGTTTTGTTGAACATATTTGAAGAGAACATGTATAATTTTATCTAAGAAGTTAGAGTGTTGGGTTCTCGGCACCTCAATCAACTGCTACTATTTTCTATGCTTCCAGAGTAATGAAAGTTTGTTTGCTTCAGCAGAGGATGAAAGAAAAACAAGGCTATTTGATAAAAAATTTCAAGGCTAAAGCCTCTCATTCTTTATTATCTGCTTCGTTTTCTATATATGTTTATGTCTCATATGATTCCCAAGGTTGTTGTCTTCATCAATGGATAGAGAAAGATTCTTATCTCTGCATCCATTCACTGTTCAAGAGGCACACCTGAGGGGATGCAATTTATTTATCTGCACATTCAAGCGCCACACCTTGCAAAAAGGAAGCATTGACAATTTTCTAAGCCAAATATGTGTCCTTATCACTTTCTTTCTCGGCTATGTTATTCTACGATTTCTTTCTTTTCTATGGGTTTGCATATAGGGAGCAAGGAAAGATTTTTGGATTCGGTACTCTATCAGTTCCCTTTGTTATGTTAGTTTGGGTTGTTAAAGGTTTACATATGTGCAGTACTTAGTCAATGTCACCATGAGTTCATATGACAGTAGTACACCAAAATATCTTTATATATTAGGGTCCACCATACTCGCCCGAGATGATTAATGTTCTTATAGGACCATCATACTAATGTAGTTAATACTTCATCAGGTTTGTTTTAAATGACCTCAATTATAGTGTTCTCAAGAATATTTTATGCCTTAGATTGTGTTATTGATTTTCATGTACAATTTCATGATCTGTTGCAAGGTGTTTTAAGTACTTCATGGAAATGAAAGAAGGAATGTTTACCAAATTCTCTAAGCTCAAGAAGTCCAACTATAACTATTGGTAATGTACCTTCTCTTTTAAGAAAAGCATTCTTGGCCTTGCTCTCAAGGGGTTCTGCTTCTTCCCATTAGAACATAGGCACTGCAAACATATTTCTATGATAATGGATCTTTTCTAGCTATAAGTTTGAAGTTTAGTGGTGATGGTATCATGGGGAGCTTTGTTTTGATAATCCATTGCTCTTGATTCTTAAACTCTCATCTTCTGTCCAAGGGTTGGTATAGTAATTATGACTAACTTCTTCCTCAATCAAGCTGCAACTAATAACATAGAAGATGTACTGTATTTGTTTGTTACAAAATTGTTTCTGGTATTTGTCTCTTTATTATTTAATTGTTTCACTAGCAAATGTAATGCCAACCCGTCAAGAAGTTATTTTATTTTATTTTTGCTAATGTTTGTTCAAATTTTGGCAGCAACCAGAAAGAATGAATTCTTTGCATTTGGTTGGGTCAATCTTATGTTCTCATATCCAGATATGTCATCAATATGTTTGCTACCTTTCAGCATTATGCAAAGAATAATTGTGGTTCTTCCTCTTATACATGTTTACGGTTAGAAAAGGATGGGTATTTTGATATTTGAAACAAGAATGTATTTTTTGTGCTGATGTGCAACACTATCATATTAGAATGCTAACATCAACTCAATTTGTTTGTGCTTTGTGCACACTGCCTTTTCCCTAAACAAAATCTACTTATTCATCAAACCATGTGCAAAGTAAGTATACCCAAAGGTTTAGAATATTGCCGACGCGGAGCGCGGGCTAATCAACTGGTTCTAATTAAAAGAACAAAAAAAAACCTAAGCTAGAAAGAGCAATGGTGCCCTCTCAACTCACCTCTCCATCGACCCAAATAGAAAACCCTGCCGCTGGGTGCCAATTTCACCACACGGAGATTACCACCATAAATCCTTCCTCGATTCCGTTCCGCCTCTCCACAGAAGGAGCACCACCGTAGCCTATCCCAACCCTTTTTTCAAACATAACACCAACGCTAGTGTACTATAGCCGGGACGAATATGTATCCGGAGTTGAATGGCGATGACGAGCTTGGAGAAGATAGAAGGCATACATCGATGAGTGGATGGTTGAGGAAGCTGACGTAGCTCTTGTGAGGTCGTGGGGTTGTGGCCGAGCAATTATGCAACAATCAAGTGAAGGGAAATTAATCCCTAAGTCAATTCATTTAGCTTCAACGAAAAGATGTGAGC